ATCCTCTACCCTTAAAGTTTGCATTTTCTTATGATTTATTATAAGATTTATAACATAAAAATTGATTTTCCAGAGATTGTCAATTTGGTCTCTTTTTTGCAGTATCTAGCCCAAATTTTAACCAAACAAAGATTTGAAGATTTGAATTGTTATTAGTGATAAGACTTAAAAATTAAAAATTAAAATATTATTTTGTATTTTATTAGTGTCATAATATAATTTTTTTTTTTTTACTTTATATATTATTCTAAAGAAGAAATTCAAATAAATAAAACTGATTACTTTTAGACAGAAGGTTTTCAATTTTAAAAATTTTAAAGTAGATTTTGCTTTAACATCTACATTCGCAGTTTTCATTTTTTTTATGCTAAAAATATTTTATTTGTAAGTTACAGAAATGAAATTTGCTTTATTAAACCATTTTATATCAACCTGGGTTAAATTACTACCTAAAAAAATTCAGATCATGTGATTTACATTATTCATATAAGATAGCTGCATGACATCATCGCACAAAACCAGAAACGAGAAGTATCTAATATTAAGTGGTTCAAAATTTTAGGTTAGAATTATAATTAGTCAAACTTGTTATTAATAAAAAATACGTGGTTGAGTTGAGATTATTCATTGTTAGATATATAATAAAATTGAATTTTTACTAAATTTTAATTAACAAAGTTAAAAAAATAAAGATTACATAATTTTCTAATATTTATTAGGGATTCAAAATAGAATTAATAGATATTTTTTCGAGAGCTCGAACTTTGTAATATTTTAAAAATGATGATCCTCTTGATTACTTGACAAATATAACTACTAAAAACTATTAACAGACTTTTCTGGTATTTTCGAATCCATGGATGTTTCAAGACATCTTTCAAAGGTAGATGTTGTTTCAGGTCATGTTTTAGTAACTACAGTGGTAATTAAAAAATAAATCAACTGTATTGGTAAAACACAAATATTCAAAGACAGTTACCAAACAAATCAAGTCACAAGCCTCAAAAGACAAATGATCAGGAAGTGTGAACTCTGCTTTTGCAATTTGTTTATATGTTGCAGTATGACCAGTTTTTTCAAACGGTGCAGTACTAGTCAAAAGTTCATAGCACAAAACACCAAGTGACCAAAAGTCGACCTTTTCATCATGTTCTTTACCTTCAACCATTTCGGGTAGAATATAATTCAATATACCACAAAATGTTTTACGTCTTATATATAAAGCAAAACTAATTGATAAATTCTTTCAAATGTAATAACACAACTTTTTTATAGTATACCTTTGCTTTGTATGCACAGACTATCCAAAATCTGCAATCTTGATCTCGTCATTCAAATCTATCAACAAGTTTTCTGGTTTTATATCTCGATGAATAACGTGTTTTTGGTGAATATAACTTAAAGCTCTAGCTGTTTGTGCAATATACTATTTTAGAAAAAGAAATGAACTCATAAATTTCAGAAAACATTTTATGTATTAAATTTATTTCAAAAATTAATAAACAAACCCTTGATGCTTTTTTTTCTTTAAGTCTACCTGATTTTACAAGTT